TCTTAAAGGATCTTGTTAATATCACTACTGAGATGAGCCAGATGGTCCTTAAAATATCTTCTATATGTCCTTTGGGTATCATGTTTATCAAATCATATATTTATCAAGTACTGTTAAATTGCTAAGGGAATGTTAGTTACCATATTTCACTCATAAATTTTGATTGTCCTACTGGAACCACACCCTGTAAACACCTCTCTTGCCAGGTGACATGATGTTAAGCTTTACTGGAAGGAAGCTATGGGAGGAAGGAGTTTTTATTCCTGAGGTTATGTGCCTTCCTGTTTTCTTGCTCCAGCAGGGATTGGTTTGGTGTGGGATCTAAAGACTCTCATTTCCCAGCAAGCACTGCTTCAAGCTGCACAGCCTCCAGTTTGGTGGCATCCTCTGCATGCACCCTGAGAAACAGCAGTCCCTGGGTGTGTAGCTTCTTGGCCATTTTTGCCAGTGTTGTGGCTGGATTCCAAGCGACTTCAGTGTTGTGTCAACAGGTAGATTCTAAATTAGAATGCTACCTGGTGCTCTCCAGGGCTCCTGGGTGGCTTCTATGCTAGTTTTGCTGGTGCCATGGCTGGCTTCCAGTGAGCAGTTCAGTGTTATCCCAACAGGTGGACTCTTGGTAGGCTGGTGAAAATCCCTTAGGGGTGCTATCTGCTATTCTTCAGGAATCAAGGAGGGTTTCCTACTTGCCAGTTTTGGTCTGCAGCACCTCAGTGGGCTGAGGAGCCATAGCCAATCTTCCTGGTCAAGGTCCAAAAGTCAGCTTTAGCGATGGAAGTGGAGGAGGGAAAGCTCTTCTTTACTTTGTCTCTCCTTGGATACTGTGGTTCTTCCGTATCTGTGTCTGCTATTCTTAAATTTCTTTAGAGTTATTACTTTTTAATAGTCAATCTCAGTAATAAAAGTTATATATGTGTATATGTACATATATATTTCTAAATGAATTTATAAAGCTTCTTCATCATATCACTCTGGCTATCTCCTTTCTGAAACCCATATAAAGTGCCAGGCATTATTCCTAGTACTTTGCAAATATTAACTTAGTCCTTAAAATAAACGCATGGTTGGTATGATTATTTGCTCTTTCCCATTTTACCCACAAAGAAGCCAAGGCAATTACATGTTTACAGACTTGCCCAAGTTTAAACAGGTAGTTGATGGTGGATTTGGATTTGAATCCTGGAAGATTGTTGAAGGGTCAGGACTTGAGTTTATTATTTCTTCCTATTTTTTTTTATCAGAAACTGTTTTATAGGATTCTTTTGCCAGGCCATTTTAGACTTCAGAATTATCTACAAGTGTTGAATTGAACGTTCATTGGCATAATCTTTCTCTTCCTTCTAATCAGAATTTATTGAGTTCTTACTATTGTGTTAGGTATTGGCAGCGGGGCAGTTTATTGTCTGGCTAGTATGTCTTGATGGCATTCACTCAAACATGACTATCTCAAGTTTTTGAAATGATTATTTTTTACGGTTTTGTAAGTCCTGTGGTAGTTACCATAGTCATGGTTCTGAGTTTTGTTTTGTTTTTTGGGTTTTTTTTTTGGTCAGAAATCCTCACCCTTTTCCAGACAAATAAACACATTTGCTTTAGAACTGTACTCTTCGATGAAAGTAGTGTGTAGCAATTTCTCCTGTGAAACTTGAACCTAGCTGTAGCCCCAGGAGCTCTTCTGAGCCCTGGGATGAAGCAGAGTTCAGACAAAGGCTTCTGAAAATTAATCCTGAAAAAAAACTTGTAAGAAGCTTGTGTGATGAGAGCAACATTGTGTATTTCTCAGATAGAATAACTAGATCTAGCTCAGCATGCCTTTGCCTGCGGGGCTGCTATAATGAGATTAAGCACTGCTTTTGGCTGATCTGCCTCCGTGGATGGGAACTGATTCCTTAAAACTATGAATAGGCCAAAAAATAAAAACAAAGAAACCATCTTAGGATTTACAAAGGCTTGTTAGAAGAAGCAAAAGAATGGGGAAAAAAATCCTTGTAATGACTTACAAAAGTAGTATTAAAATTGTACTTCAAATTCTTAGCTAAGTAATGGGAATTCTGGGACGTACAACTCTTCAATTTTTCTCCCTCAAAATTAGAGCAATTAAGTTGGCTCAATCCTTTCAGGAATGTGTTGGAGAAATGTATTAGCCAGTTATTTGAATAATAATTATTCTTTCTTTTGCTTTTATAGTTTGCATCATAAATTTGGGAGCAAATGGCTCACTTTTGCTGCTGCATTTTTGCTATGTGGGGAAATCTGGAGTCCTAGCTCTACTATGCCTGGATTTTAGGTATGGCCTCTGGAGTAAACTTGGTTAAAAAGCAAAGTGTGAATTGATAATTTCATGTATCATCTCTGGAGAAAGTTTTTACTATTGATATGCACAAGAGGGAGCTCTACACAGGTAGCAGTGCAGACAATGTACAAAGGAAGTAAGTAGCTCTTTGTTGAAGGTACTGTAGAATTCAGGCATCTCTAGGTAAATGGGGATCAGACTCCCAATTCCTCATCAGACTGGCCTAGGATAAGAAATATATAAGCTCTTAATCCCTTATTCTTATGACTAAGACTTCAGTTCAAATCTAGGCTTTTTGAAAGTCAGAATTTCCATCTGTTATTTTGGGAAAAACTTAAACTCTGGTCACTTTTCCCATTAACCTTGTTTGATGTCCCTTCTGTAAGAATGCTTAATTAGACTCTCTTTTTCTGATGCTAGCAGAATTCACAGTTCTTGAACTGGGCTGCAAATTGGATTTGTTGGCCTGGGAATGTAGTTTAGTGATAAGAGTGCCTCTCTAACATGCATGAAGCCACAGTACCACATAAACAGAAAAAGCCAGAAGTGGCACTGTGGCTCAAGTGGTAGAATGCTAGCCTTGAGCAAAAGCAGCTCAGGGATAGTGCCCAGGCTTTGAGTTCAAGCCCCAGGACTAGGGAAAAAAAAGAAAAAGAAAAAGGAAGAAAAAAAGTCAAAGCCAAAATAAAATTAGATTAAAAAATTGGATTAGTTGTATGACTTGTTCATCCAAACTATGATATAGCCTTCACTAGTGAATTTGGTAGTGACTTAATGTTTAAATTCCTGTGCTTTGTTGTCTTTGTGTATAGAAGATAGCTAGAATACGGAGATTCTCAAATGAAATGTAGATTTGTAAATTTGGGAGTACAACATGTAGTGTGGATTTCACAGATTAGTCTTAGTCTAAGATCTATGTGGTACAGGGTAGCTGAGTTTTGAAGTTTTATAATCTTTTTAAACTGTTCTGACTTCTACACAAGAGAGATGTTACAACAAGAAAGATCCATTCTGTTGACCTTTTTACATTATGTAGGGAGATTAGAGTGTTCATAGCTCTTAGATTTTCAGAAGGAGTTTAGAACATTTTAAAAGAATGTCAGAATATGACCCAGAGAGAGCTCTATGATCAAACAAATGGTTTTATCATAGAAGAATCGATGAAGCTCTGAGAAATGGGCCTGACATAGGAACTAAATATTGAAATTACTTAAAAAAATGTTACAAATTCTCACATACTTAGATGCTAAGGCAAAAATCTGGAGGAAAAAAGCAAAGGGATCTGAACATTTTTATGCACTCTTTTGTCTCTTTCCAATGTTCTTTGGTTTCTTTTCAGTGAGCTAAGCTTTTGCTGTGTGGTTAGGAATGTGAGTTTGTTTAACTCCAGAGTAACCTGAGGCAGCCAGGGAAGGTTAATTTAAAGAGTGTGGTTAGGTCTAAGGCAGGTACATTCTTGACCTGGCAAGTCTATTTTCTTTTCTGTTACAAGAATGATCTGTCTTATCTTTTAAAGCTGTCACGTTTCAATTGACATTTTTACAGGGGCTGAGCAAAATCTTGCTACACAAAAGTTGTGTAAATTCCTCTTGACTTGTAAAATATAAATTCAAGGCTTCAAATGGGGTAAACAGAGACTGCAGAGACTGCAGTCCTGAACATTCATCTTTCTTATTTGAATGAGCAACTCTTCCTTCCTTCCTGGAATGTGACTTGACATTTCAAATTCCTGTTAAATCTCTGGGTACACCCAGAGACCTCAGAAGGCGCTACTGAGAGAGCAAACATCCTCCTGTACTTGGCATAAAAAAAAAGGATGCTTGCATGGCTTGGAGGCTTAGGGGTGCTCTGTGGGGGAAAAAAAAAGAGTGAACCTGGGTTGCCAGAAAACAATCTTAACATGAAACTGAAAAGCAGCATTTGCATTTGAAAGTAGCTGGTTGACAAATGTGCAGGGCACATGTTGTGGCCATGGAAGCCCTGATGTCAAAGGGTGCGTACCAAAGGGCTCTGGTATGTGGGCCACCCTATATGCTCCTCTTCGCTGCGGTAACAATAGCCCTTCTCCATATGGCCCTTCTGTGGCTCCTACCTGAGGAGCTGGAGGTGGGCTTTAATTAGGCTATGTTAATGAGTATTTCCTTTCAATGGGTTTACAATCAGGCCTACAAGCCATGGTGTGCAATCTTTGTTGGAATTTCTGTGAAAGACACTTGCTTCATTTATAGGCTACCAGGAGATCTTCTTTTGTTTTCTGGACAGTATGAAGTTAAGAGTCTAAAGAAGGGAACTGTTTGCCACCATTCTGAATATATTATCAGTTGAAGGAGAAAGAAATACTTTAGATAACTAAGAGAAAGGATCTGAAGCCCTGATCAAATAGGCCCTAACACATATTTTGATACTGGATTTCTCAATCATTGAACCAATCAATGAATGGTCTTATTGTTCAAGCTAGACTGAGTTGAGGTTCATGTTACTCCAAACCAAGGTTGCCAACTGCCATATAATGTCTAAGATGACTGCAGTATGTATCACCTATCTGTATCCTAAAAAATGCTTTATTATCTGAAAGGTTATTTATTCCAAGAGAAATGGTATTGTGCAGAACTTTGCAAGGAAATCTCCAGTCTCTAGTTTTCTAAAAAGTGCTACAGAAAACCATCAATAATAAAGGAAGGCATCAACAAAAGAAACAAGCCAAGTGTCAAATGCAGCATATTTAATTTGTTTCAAATAAAGGAATATATGTATATATATATATTTCAGAAAACACCAGATGTTAATTTTTACAAAAGCACATGTGTCTTCAGCAGATCATGTTTGTCTGATCATGAAGAGTATTTTTCAACATTAACTCTAAAGACAATCAATGGATTGACATCACGGCTACAACATAGGTTGCTAACTGAGCTCTGATCTTCAGCCACGCCTTGATTTCCCTAACAAATGAGTAAATACTGTCTGGCTACAATGCTGCAAAGTCTCGAGGAAAAGCATCAACAGATCAAGCAAAGCCATGAAATTTACGAAGCAAGCTAGAGCTGAGTATCTGAATTAGTAAAAATGATTAAGAGAGGATGACACAACCATACAGGGTTTATATATTCTGATTGACTCTCTTTTTGGCAGCGAATTGGGTCAGCACCTCGGGCAGGGAACCAGAACTGAGCAAAACCTGCTCTTCTCTCCTAGCTCAGGCCACCAGTGTCACAGCTGGGACAGAGAGAACTGTGGCATCTGTGGAAACTTCTATTCTTGTGGGGCAGAGATTGCACTGTGAAACCCTACTGACATTACCCCGGAAAGGCCTGGCCTCGCTGTTGTCTCCAACATGCTGCCTTCGCCGGGGCTTTTCAGTATGCACTGGGACCTCAGGGGGTTTGGTCCCCAAGGGGGTCTCTTGATTTTTGGCGCCACCTTTATTTTTGGGACGGAAGCCATTGTGTGGCTGTCTTCTGTGTTCATGCCGATTGTTGCCCTTCACCATTGGATCAACTTCATTACCACTGCCTTGTGACTTGGCAGGACCATTTAGCCTGTTGTTATGATACTGTGGATTAAATCTTCGTCTTTGGTTAGAAGGTCCATTCTGCAAAAAAAAGTTAAAAATGTCAGATATTAGCAATCCAGAGAAAACATTAATAAGCACAGGGAAACTGAAGCTACAGCTACACTTCAGAAGAATATGGCAACACAAAAGCAAGGTCAGGTTGATATGATCATCTTTTTTTTTTTTTGGGTCTGGTCGTGGGGCCTGAACTCTGGGCCTGCTCAAGGCTAGCACTCTACCACTTGAGCCACAGCGCCACTTCAGGCTTTTTTCTTTTTGCTTATGTGGTGCTGAGGACTCGAATCCAGGGCCTCAGGCATGCAAGGCAAGCACTCAACCATTAAGCCACCTTCCCAGCCCCACGATCCTTCATCTTAGCATAATAGTCTTACAAATGAACATATAAGAAAATTACTAATACCAAAAGAGAGGTTAAGAAACATAAGCCAGATAAAAAAGTAGACCAAGTAAAAACAAATGAAAGGTTATAACAAATGAAAGGTATACAATGGAAGAGTAATGGTGGTTCTCTACCAGGAACAAATATGTATGTATGTATCTCCAGAAAAATGGTCCAAACAGAGCAGCTCAGGGCTATGTGAGACTAGAATTCCAGGATCTTGAGTACTTAAGAGTACTGAAATTCAGAAAGGAGGGTACAGTGTCTGAGTGGTCATGTCTCCTGGATCTCACTGAACTCTCACTTGTCAGAGAAGACCATGCTGGGAGACAGCCAGAAGGAGTTACTCTGAAGTACTAAGGTCCTTTTTGTTTGGGTCTGTAGTGTTCTGTAAGGATGTATAATTGTTGTATTTTATGCATAAGGAAATTTTTTATAATTATATATAAAGATATTTTATATGTAAGTGATATATAAGGATATTTCAATTTATATGAGGCATCACCTAAAAGGCTAAGACACTGGATAAAAAATACTGACATAATAGCATTTTTAATATTTCATTTTAAAATTATTTATTTATTTATTTATTGTTGGTCATGAGGCCTTATTCTGGGCCTGGGCTAGTGCTCTACCACTTGAGCCACAGTGCCACTTCCAGCTTTTTCTGCTTATGTGGTGCTGAGGAATCGAACCCAGGGCCTCATGCATGCAAGGCAAGCACTCTACCACTGAGCCACCTTCCCAGCCCCATTTTTAATATTTTAATATGAATTAATTTTTAAAGAAATTTAGAAAGGAAAATCCTTAGATTAAAATTTAGACAGTAGGGCTGGGAAGGCGGCTCAGTGGTAGAGCGCTTGCCTTGCAGGCTCAAGGCCCTGGGTTCGATTCCTCAGCACCACATAAGCAAAAAAAAAAAAAAGCCAGAAGTGGCGCTGTGGCTCAAGTGGTAGAGCGCTAGCCTTGAGCTGAAGGGCTGAGGGACAGCGCCCAGGCCCAGAGTTCAGGCCCCATGACCGGACCCCCCCAAAAAAATTAGTATTATCATGGTGTTTAGTTATGAGCAAAGAACAAAAGCAGTGTAAATAGCCAGCAAAATAGATTCTGCTACAAATGTATAGACTTCTTCTTATCAAAGTGCTATTTTAAAGCCCATTAAGACATTCAGGATCAGAGACATGCCTGTCAGTGTCGTTAATGGGAACTCTTAAAAGATGAAGACAATAAGAGCAAACAGTATCCATTAGAAAAATCAGCACTTTGCAATATTGAAGAAAAAAAAAGTGTCAGTGATCACAAAAGTAGCATGCCTAACTCCTATATAATCAAATGCCATTTTTTAAATAATTCATTCTCCATCCATAAGGGAAGAATCAGTTCTTAAAGATGAAGTGGAGAATCAAGAAGGGATGGAAAATTGACCTTTGAAAACTTTTAGAAGCCATGGTAGATAAGAACAAATAAAGTAATTTCAAAATGTATTTTCTTTACTGGAATCCTAAGAGAAGAAGAATAGTTGGCACTAACTTTTGGCCTCTTACTAATAACATGAAACAAAAGTGGGAATTGAATTATCTTAAAAATGAAACCAAAGACTTGCTTTTTCTCTAATAGGCTCAGTGGCCCAGTTCTGAATCTTGTGTCTGTGTCTTTGTGTGGATCTCAGCCACATGTGACTTGATAATGGGACCTGGGAATGGTGACAACCTGGGGATGTCCATGCTATCAAGTGACCTCGTGTATACTGGATATATTAGGGAAGTCCCAGGAGACCACACAGTACTTCTGGGGCTGGAGTGAGCTTCCCAGAGAACTCACAGCTAGCTGTTGCTATTGTCTTTCCCTGGCATGACTCACCATAGTCTATAAGACCCCACAGGCAGCACCAGGAGACCCACACCTCACTCCCCAGGGTGGCTTACCTGCTTGTTAGTTGGCATAGCCTGGTGAGAGAGATCAGCAGTGTTGTGAAGACTGCTCATCATTTTTGGGTTTGCTGCTTTCCCCTCCAAGGCCTTGTTGTGAATGGATGATTTCCGGACAAAGTTATTCTGTTTGCCAGAGGATGCTGCATGAGCATTCAGCAGAGGCAGCAGGTTGCTGCAGGGAGTTCTTGAGGAATAGTTGTTCTTTGGATGTGTGACTGCAACAGGAAAGGCTTGGTGTTAAAGGCTGACCCACTAGGAAGTGCTAGGAGTTGAAGAAATTAGCAGGCGCTCTACACAAATGTATGTTTTGTTTTTTTAAGATGTCATTTGAAAGGGCACCTTGGTGCTTAGAGACCACCCAATTTCTCCTGTGAGAATCAATGAACAATGATTACAGCTACATCATCCACTTTAGGAGACATTTGTAGAAATAACACATATCTAAGCAATTTAAATATTATTCTTTAGTTCAAAAATCACCAAGAGAAGTGTGATAATGAAACCTTGAGTTTCCCTCTCAGGTACTGACTGCAAATGCATTTTGCCTCTTAGATTGCCCATTACCAAACTCATTCTTGCTGTCCTTGCTATACCCCTATACTAGTTGAAATTGCAGAAGCCTAGAAGGATCAAGAGGTGCACAGACATTGGGGCTGCTAGAGCCATAATATTCTGAGGATATGGCGATGGGAGAACGTTGTGTTGGGAATTTTGTCACTAGGTCTTGAATATCTCTGATGATAGGACCAGGCCTGCCAGACCCTAATGAATCTTTTATACTCCATTAGACTGGAGCTACATTATATAGCCTTTTATTAGTCCCATTTTATGCAGACCCACTGCAAATGTGACGAGTACCATTTCCAATGCTACAGGCAAGGCAGGCTGATCAGCAGACCCCTGCCAAGCTCAGGCTCAGGCAGGTCTGTGCAGCATTTATTATTGCTATTCCTGCTGTTTTTGAAAGTGGTAGTTTCTGATGGGATGATTTCTATGTGATTATGCTGAAAGAGGGGCAGAAGAATCAATTCAAGGATAAAACTGTGACTTTACTCTCACAGCTTACCAGGACTTGACTGTCAGACTGGACAGTAAGACTTTTCTCTGAATCTTAAAAATTGTCACCAAATTTTAAAATCAATTTTCTCTCTTCCCTTTGTTGGGTCACACTTAATCCCAGGGTTCTGTGAGAGGATTAAGTAGTGATCATAGTACATTAGGAGTGGAAAGGACAGTGACATAGCTCTAGCCCTTTCCTTTTGTAGGGATGGTGTAACAGCAATTTGGTGCTGTCCAAACACAACCAGGGGATCTGGGTGGTTCTTGGGTTTACCACCTTTGGTTGCATGGGGTCATATTCCCTGCAAATCAAAGACCACACTACTTCTGATTCAGTAGCTGTGGGCACTCAATGTGTTCTCAGCAAAGCCAAGAAAGAATGCGCCCTGTTTCAAACATGTGAGATGGAGGCTCTTTCATATGGATCATGTGTCACTTAGTAAGGGACAATTTCTCCCACTAGATGGCACTTGGAGGAAATCGGGTGTGGTAACACCTCCCACTCCATCTGAGATCACTGGCACACAGGCACTCAGCATCAGCATCTTGCTCATGATCTGGCTGTAGTGGGAACTAAGCAGGCAGAATTTCCAACTGTGAACCAAGACTATTCACTTTTTAGGGGTGGGGCAGACACCGGGGGATGGAGATGGCAAACAGATTCCTTAATAAGGAAGGGAGCAAAAGTAATAATCTAAAAAAAATGCAGTCAAGGGCTAAGTAAGTAAGCATGGATCAAGTAAGTAAGCATAAGGCACTGAGTTCAAATCCTAGTGCCATCACCACCACTATCTCCCCACCCCTGCAAAAAAAAAAAGCAGTCAAAAAATTAGGTAAGAGCCAAAGATATGGGAGCAAGTTTGCTCACAACATTGCTGTTTTGGTGGTGAAAAAGTAGAAACAAAAGCCACAATCAAAGAACTGGTTACATTGTTTATACTTAAACAAATGACTTAAATATAATACATATAATAAAAACATAATTATCAGTTAAATATATTGACATGGAAAAATGTCTACCATCTATTATAAAGTAATCAAATAAATCATTTTACTATGCATGTATATACCTAGCAAAGTTCATTGTATTATACTGGATGGAGTAAAAAGTATGATGCTCATGATCTATTTAATATAGATTGAGACTGTGTAGTTGAAACTTACAGTTCTTATAATTAGAGAAAAAAATTCTACTTTGAAAAAAATGCTGTCAAGTCTCAATTGTCCATCTGACTATGAAGCAATGGATTTGTTCTGATCCTCAGGGTCCTTCTTGCCTTCTTGTGGTCTCCTCAAAGCCACTTTACATCTAGCTCCTTGTGGGTGGGCTAGAGTAGGGGAAAAAATTGCAGCCAATTTTGTTGCACATTAGCTTCTCTAATTAAAGCTTAATAGGGAACAAGACTAAAGCTAATGACTGAAGTGAAGTCTTTCATTATCTGCAGGCTTCACTCAGCATGAGGAGCCCGGGGTGAGGGCAGGGAGCTCAGGGCATCATGGAGCAGAATACAGGACAGCTGGGCCCAGCACAATAGCTGATTGTTGCAACTGATGAGGAAAACTCACTCACTTGGAACAGTCTCTGTAGAACCGGGCCTCTTTGAAATCAGAGGAGCAGTTTATCTGGCAGTGCTTAGGAAAGTTTGCAGAAGGTATAAACCAGTTGACCTGGTCTGTTCCGCTTAATAAATCCCAGGGATTTACTGATGGGCAGTGGCATTTGAAGAGTCTAAGTTCAAATCTTGACATTTCTAGTGACTTGTGTCATGACCTTCGATCATTAAATCTCTTTAGACCTCGCTGTAGTCCCCCAGGGGACTGCATACCTGACATTTCCTATATCAACTCCAAATAGCAGCAAGATTCCTCACACAGAATTATTTAGCACGTATGCAAAACTCACTTTCTCCGCAGAGCATGATTTGGGCCTTCAGCTGTTCTATGTCACAGGAGAATCGGGCAGCCTTCCCAAGCTCTTCATCATATTTACGCTCACTGACAAAGTGCTGGAGGAAAGAGAAGTAAGGCAGAAACCCCACAGTCACCAAAATGTCTGTGATACCTGCAGATTCATTCATTCCACTCTTCCAGTGTCCTGAGGGTAGTGACTGGGTGAGGATCACTCCAGCTCAGTCACTGTGAGGTCCTAGTAAGTCAGTTGTGGTTCTAACCTGCCTAATCATGATCATGATTTTAGAACATCAATGGGTCTTCTTTTGCCTTTGCCTAGATGTAAGCCAAATATGATGAAGCAAAATGTATGTCTGACATCATCTATTTAACCTTAGCACCTCTTGATAGAGCAATTTTCTGGTTTGACCAAGGGTCTGGTAAGCTATTAATGGTCAAGAGAAAACAGGTCATCCTTCATAGACACCCAGACACCCATTCCTATTGGAATAGCGAATCTGGAAGTCCAAATAAAAATTTCAGTGTGTAGAAGACATTTTTAATGGTGAAATTTCAACTGCTGTTATAGGAAGTAGAAAAGATTATTTTTCAATTCATTTAAAATTCAATTTAAAATTAAGATCTATGTGTAGATGACAGAGTGTGAAATACAGAAATAACTATGACTCAGCCCTTCTTGAATTTACCAGGCAGTTTACCACATAGCAAGGGAGAAATACCATTTAATACAAGGTGGAAATGTGCATGGTGCATTAGGAATATGAAAAAGGAAAAAGTAATCTCTGACTGAGGGGAATGGGAAAAGAGTTATGTAAGAACGAACATTCAGAAAGGTTGAGTTGGAACACTGAAAAAGGTTCTTGAACTGACCAAATTCTTACATTTTCATCTGATCACATTATTTCGAAGTGAGCACTGTTATTGCCATTATTTTACAGGTAAGGAATAGATGTTATAAGAATGTAAGACAATATATAATGTATCCAAGCTACAGAAGTAGAATATTTTCGAACTGGACGGTTTCATCCCAGAGCCTGTGCTACTAACCAGTTTATGATGAGTGGTATTTTGATGGACAGAAATTAAACCCGGAGGAGGCATTGATTTCAACAGACTAGAAAGCTGTAATTCATACTCATCACTTGATGATATGATAGAAGTTGCAATATATTTTGGAGTCTAGTCATAGATTGTATTCTGATGGATCATACCAGAGGAGATTAGATCTGCTTTGGGTGCATATATCTGAACTTAGGGTGGAGTAGAGGCTGGAGAAGGACAGTGAAGGCAGAAAGACTAGTTAAGAGGCCATTACAATTGGCTGGATGGGAGACAACAAAGGCAAGAATAGAATAGGTGAGAAGGGAAACACCCCTACAACTCTTTCCTCCAGAAGCTCCCATTCGTGCCTACGGCATGATGGAGGGGACTAAAGAGTCACTTGCCATTTTCTACCCTGTTCAACTAGTTCTATAGCCGAACAGGTAGACAATTCTTCTAAAGCTAGACACAACTCTGTCTTAAAAGGACTCTAATTTTCTAGATGTGGGTAAGAAGTGCATGTGTATGGATATGCACATGCACAGATATATGTGTGTATGCATGTATGTGTGTTTCCTATATTGGGTGAAAACAGGAGGAGAGGAGGAATTTATAACCTTTATCTTACTACTTTGTTGTAAATATTCATTCTTGTCTTCTTGGAAACCATTTCCCTTTCTGGCAACTGTACCCCAATCCTGTTTAAAAGATTTACAGTTTTGAGGGGTTTTTAAATCAAGGTGCTACGTTCTCTTTTGGGCAAATGATTGGTGGGATCCAAATGGAGGACAGTTAGAGCTGCTTATTAGGGATTTGAATCAGATGAGTGGCATGAGAGCTAATGAGTTTTGAAGATCACTCATTCTATGGGGCCCTGGAGAGCTTGGAATTACTGCTCCTCACAACATGAGTTTCCCTGGCTCCTGACGAGTTGTAGACCCAGCTCTGCAGAGCACGCTATGCTTTGGTGACCTACAATCAACATTATATCAGATTCTTCTTGTTCTTGAGGTGAACCAGGGTCAGTTTCTATTGCTTAGAGCAGTAGAATTAATCTAATAAGTACACATTTATGAGTAGTGATCCTAACAAAAAAAGGACAATTAAGACAGAAAATGATTAAGGAAAGAAGTCTCCATAGTCTGCGTGATTTATAATCTTTACTGTTAAATATTAAGTTTCTACTTAGAATGTGCTCACAAGTGTGTATTTATAAAATACATAGAAATTATCATATGCTCTATGCCAGTTCTGAATCATGATTGAGTACACTTTATTTGGATCAATCCCAAATGATTAAGAAAATAGCTTAGCCCTTTCCTTTATAACAATTTATCCACTCTGTATTGTCCTTAAATAAAGAGATTGGAAGGTTCTTTACTGTATTTTATATTCTATATTTAACCTCATGAAAAAGTGCTATGTGTATAGGTTTTGACCCTCAGGGAGCAGCAGTCGGGATGCAAAACAAACATAATAGGGATCAGATCTCTTGCTCAGGGTTCAGGCTGGGATGTTTCAGAACTGACCTTGATTTCGGCCCTGAGTTCGGCCAGCTGCATCTCTGCCATTTGACTGGCTAGATCAGTAAGTCTCTTTAGTTCTTCTGCTTTCTTCTGACGAGCAGTCAGAATTTCCACTGCCAGATAAGAAGGATACATTAGGGTCAGAGTTAAACATAATTATATGACTGAATTTCTTGGAATCTGTTCTTTCTTTACAGACTGATTGCTTTGTTGGACCATGACTATTATTTTCTGAGTTGGTCACTGAAGTAGGTTTCTTTGGTGCCCATTTCAAAAATCCAATTCTTTTGTGTCTTTACCATCCCAAATCAAAACACAGACCCTTTCAATTCACTATGCACCTACATTTCTTCATTTTCTCTACTGGCATCTGACCTCACTTGTTTAAAGTTTTCAGTGTGTAAGTTCTTCAGAAAAAACTATCTCTGAAAAAAGATATATATATATATATATATATATATATAAAATTAAAGCCAGGCAGCTATGGCTCACTGATGTCATCCTAGCTGCTCAAGATGCTGATAACTGGAGGAACACAATTCAAAGCAAGCTCAGGGTAGAACAGTCTCTATCTCCAATTAACCAGCAAAAAGCCAGACTGGAGGCATGGCTCAGATGGAAGTGTCAGCCATGAGCAAGAAAGCTAAGTGAAAGTACAAGACCCTGAATTCAAGCATTGGTACTGGCATACGTGTACACAAAATTCCAGTGAATGACACTGCAAAGATAAAAAGTCTATTAAGAAACATCTATACGTATGCATGTGCCATACCATTTAATTCTAGGAGCAGAAGACCTTCTAATTTTAAGACATAGTCACTTAGAGCAACCTTGCTATTGGAATATGTTTGAAACTTTTACTTTATTAGTTTTTGTGAGTTTAAAAAATGTCTCTGCTTTTGATGCTCTGCAGATATATTTCCATTCTGCAAATAGAGACATTCCAGACCACAGTGTCTTGTGTCTTTGTTGCAAGTGTCCCCAGTGGAAAAATTTCAAGGGCGAGCCAAGCCAGCTTGAACTGGATTTGTGTGCACTCTTTAGCACCTGCACATACACAAAAGACACCAGGGAGTCTCACAATTCTGTCAGATGAACTAAAGGTTCAGATAGATGCAGTAGCCCAGAAGTTAACGTGTGTATTTCCCAAATGATTATAAAGCAGAGAAACAATAAATACAGACACACAGGTAAGATTTAAATGCAAACTCTGTCTATTTTAAAATTGCTTTTTCTTTTCTTCTTCTTCCACTTCTTCTCCTTCTTCTTCTTTTTGGTACTGGGTGTTGTACTTGCGAGGCAAATGCTTTACCACTGAGCTACATCCCAGCCCAAGTTTGATCATTTAATAGATTGACTTACAGCTCTCAAACTCATTATATAGATTGACTTACAGCTCTCAAACTCATTATATGTGAACTTCCTTCAATTCTTTTGGATAAGCATTTGAGCCTAAGAAAATTGTAACTCATCTAAGATAAAATGCATGTTGAATTCAAATTCTGTGAGACTAGATTTACAGTACATATGTATAGTCAGACAATATGAGGGTATTTGTTGTTGTTTTTGAGACAGTCTTGCTATGTTCCAAAGGCTGGCCTCAGTTTTGTGATTTTTCCTTATCTTTTCCAATATGACTTCTGATTTTGAGTCATTAACATATAAAATGTTAATGAACATGTCAAATATCAAGAAAGAAGTATAGAATCAAGGCCTAAGATTCCTTGCAAACGATGTCATTTTGTAGACACAGGGAGACATTCTCTTTTTATGTTAATACCAATGTTGAGAAGTTAATCAAATAATTAAGGTATAACTCATAAAGCATATTCATCTGCCAAACTACAACAGTCATGTTTTGTTTATTGGGGCTTCTCCTGCCTTCTCCCCCACTTATAACACCATGTAGCTAGGCAGACTGGTATATGCTTAATGGCCTTTCTGAAAACAGAAGAGCTAGTGAAAAACTAGGAGATGTGAGTGAAAGGAATTTTCACCCGAATGTCAATCATGCATTACTGAGTGATATCTCCAGTTATCATTTTTGGCCAGAGGATGTATGTTTTGTTTGGCCCACACATTATTTTAACAAGTTAGATGCCTATATTTAAAAATCAGGGAGTGCCATTTGAAAGGTTGTTTTCTGTGTCTCTTAAAACATTAGCATTCCTATGTGGCAATCACTGGCTAAAAGCTAATGAGCTCTTGTTCATTCTAGATATAGCATGTTGCCCAGTGTGCCACCATTCCCACTGGTCCTGCTCCACACATTCATGTTATCTGTTCGTATAGATCTCAGTCAGTCATGAAACTACAATGCAGACTGAACTATGTGGTTCTTTATATCCATGGTAACCTAGCGCCTGGAACATAGGAGCTGAAGATATTCACTAAGTGAAGGATTTGGAGAATGAATGAATCCATTACTTGAAAGCAATATCTATAGAAGGACTGAAGTTTCTCATTTTCAGGGGCTACTTAAGGGAATTTGGTATCCATATTTTGGGTTATTTTGTTTGTTTGCCATTATAATTCAACAGATGGATGGACTAAAGTCTGTTGCATGAGGAAATGTTTCTCTAGTAAAAATAGGAAATGAGATACTTTCATCTTGCAAAGGAGGGTAAAAAATAAATTCAGAAAACCCAGACTTGACAATCATTTGGAAAAGGGGTCAGCAGACCCTGATGACTGCACAGCTAAGCAGATCTGACTTTTCTTAATGGATCATTTGTGGGATTGGTGACAATTAGGGGGTCATTGTTCTTTTTGATTATGTAGAACTTGGGCATTCACACCAAACAGAAGATTCTGTAGAAATAGATATAAATGGGCCCTAAAATGGGAATGCAGGTGCAAGTTCACCAATAAATTCAGAGTTTTAAACTCAACCAAATGTGCATGAAAATGAATGCATTGCATCAGCAAGTGTTGGGATACATTTTACATATAGTCTCATTAACATTTCAAAGCCTTTCATTATGGAAAAAAAAAACGCTTTAAAAGTTGAGATCTAAAGCCAGTATTCTTCAGGGGCAAACATTTTCACCTCAAAAACATCAATCACAGATATAAAAAGCAAAAACAAAACAAAACAAAAAGACCAGATCAGATCTTAAGATTCATTCATCCTGTAATTTAAAATAGAATAATAAGTATGTTTGAAAGCACTATCCTTTCTCTGTAGAGGGAGATAGTACCATAAAGCTTAGGTTTTCACTGCAGGAAGACTTGATATTATTTATGCGCTTTTATAAATAGTATCTGGCATGCTAAAATCCATTTTCTCAATAGGATTTATAAATTCCTTCAATTTTTTTTTAGCATCTGGAAGCTTGGTTCATATTATGTGAACCATGGAAAATCTTCAGGCTTCTTCAATGATACTCATCAGCTAAAAGTGAATTCTGGAATGTGCAAGCCAGATATTGGAGCAGAGGTACTCTTTCTTTGAAAGCTTTTTGGTTCCTTAAAAATTCTTAAGAATTAAACACTTTGCTTCATATTATGTCTGTGTTCCTGTTAATACAAAGCAGTGTTTTCTTTCCATATTTAAGCAAACTTTCTCCTCCAAGAATCTGCCTGTTCAGGTCCACTTCCCTGGAGGAGACAGATGAAGTTACCATAACACGCTTACTTTCTTTATTTGTAAAATGGAATCATCATACTAACCACCTAGGGTTACCATGCAACCAAACAAAGTAACATTTATAAAGTGTTTAGTTTATTCTATTCAAAATGTAAGTTATAAGTATTATTAATAAAAGGGGTATATTCATTCCGGAGTATATTTCCTCTTTTAATAATCACATTAGTGTTCACAGATATTGGATTTCATGGTCTACTGACATGAAATTGACTACCGTAATTCACTTAAATATTTATGGAATACTGATGGTCTTTCTCAGCATTGTCTTAGGTGCCATGTGAGAAAGGGGTTTATGTTACAATTGGGGAAATATGATTTATACCATATATAAATATGATTCATGTCACCTATAGGAAAAATATTCTTGGGACCATAGAAAAGCAAGTTCAAGATGGTGGTAACAAAGTCAGATTTGTACTTAATGGTATGCATGGTTCAGTAGTACCTTCAGTCTCACCCCCCCCCCGCCGAGATACATACCTGTTGACACAAGTGTATCACCTCAGAGGTGTAGCACAATCTCTTGGACCTTCATTTCTACCAGAATATTTGATGAACTAATCTATTTATTAATAAGAACTTTTCTCTTTGTGTACACATACTGTGTCGTGTACTGTGCTAAGTGCCTGGCCTCTAGTTTCTCGTTACACCTTTACAATAAACTGAGATGGATGTTACTCTTCTTCCCTCTTCTCTGATAAAGCACCACAGAATATGAGAAATGAAAAAAATGGTTCAAGCTCACATAGTGAGTAGGTGAAAGCTGGATTTGGACCCAGTTCTATGTCCAGAACATGCCAGTGGACTAGCCCCTGGCTCTGGGCAGTCCTAAAAACTAAAACCTGCAGCAGAGATTAGGTGCTGAAGTTAGGTGAACCCTGCCAGCCAATTCAGCAGTTTGAGGGTTGGTGAAGTCTTAGTGAGAACCTGCTTTCTCTACAGTTTTTCCTGCTCTCGCAGTGCTCAATGTGCAAGGAAGCACACAGTGAATGTTTATTGGTGGAAGGAGTTTTAATGACAGGGATGCTCCAAACTCCACACATCTTGGAACCCAACATTTCTCAAAAAGGAAGAATGAATACGTGAAAACTGAAGTCTCTTATCTTTCTAAGTTGGCTCTAGAGAACCATCTGTGGCTGTGTTGGTTTCTAGTTATCATTTTTAGAAATAAATACCTAGGAAGCAGAAAACCCAAGTCATGTGTATACTCCACTTTTACTGAAGAAATCAATGGACTTCAAAGAAGAAAATAATTTCACACCCAGAGGGATATTCACCCTGGATTAGATTAGTTTCATCAATGTATTTTAGATCTAAAATGTTGTTTAAAATTAGAGAATTGCATAATAAAAGATAATGGTGGCTATTTTTGAAAGATAAAATGACAGTGAATTATGGCCAATATCCAGGGAAGAAAACTACAAGAAAAATCTGGTCTGATCTTTCATTCCTGAGGAGAAAGACATTTCAGTCAAAAGAAAAGCAATTTAATTGAAACTTAGTTGGGTGCACGTTTCCAATTAGCTAATTCATGAGAGAGAATCTGGGTGAGGATAAAGAATCCAGTAACAATCAGGAAACAATAATTATAAAACTAAGTCCTAGCTGGAAAATATGGCATTGAGGGTCACATTCACATAGTAGACTGAATTCAATACAAAGGACTCAGAGTGTCTACTTGTGGCCTGATACTGAATCTGACTAAGTAGAATTGTCTGTGTTGAAATTTGTAACCTATTAATCTCAGCTAGCCTAAGATGGTAAATCTGCTCTGCTGCTACTTTACCCCAGTGGAAAGGTTTAGACAGAAACATGAAAAGAAAGCAAACTCAGAATGTCAATATTTTGTGTTAAGTTCAGGAAAAGTTTTTCATTACTGGGATAGTGTGAGTGTATTCATTATTTAAGTAGGGAATTTTGTCCATTAAGCAGTCTAATGTGTGATTTCAATTTAAAACATGGAATTGATTTTCTCTTGTGGTTTTAAGTTGGCAGGTGTTGGCATATTTGATGGAGTTTGTAAACAGAATTGGGATGTTTTAAGAAAACTTCATTTAGACATCTCTACATTTGAATTATTAATCTTGCAGAAGTTGTTTAAAAACTAAGGAAATTTTGTTTGTTAGATTTGTATGTGTGTGGCAAGCATCTGAAGTGCTTCAGATGAGACAGATATTTTCCATTTATATGTAATTCAATATATGGAGAATTTAAGAAACAGAGTCAATGGAACAATTTGGGTTTTTTTTTGTTTGTTTTTTGGTTGGTCATGGGGCTTGAACTCTAGGCCTGGGAGCTGTCCCCTGAGCTCTTCAGCTCAAGGCTAGCACTGTACCACTTGAGCCACAGTGCCACTTCCAGCCTTTTCTGTTTATGTGGTGCTGAGGAATCGAATTCAGAGCCTCGTGCATGAGAGGCAAGCAGTCTACCACTGAGTCACCTTCCCAGCCCCAATGGGACAAATTTGAAAGGGATCTTAATTTGATAAATTTGAGTTTATTGAACCTAAAAAAGAGTATGTGAAAATGACTATATAATATAGCAAAATTACTATGTTGTAAAGGCTTAAAAGGAGTATCAAGATTTAATGCTACATGTAATGTCATTTTCAATCCAACTAAGCAGACAGTTTTCCATTGCAGAAAACTTGCTTGAATTTTAAAGAGGTCACCCAGAGCTTCCTGATTACTGAGTACATTGTCATGTACTTAATGCTATGAGTATAAGTGCAGCTGTGGCTTGTGTAAGGTTACAGAGCTCACGAATTAGTGTTTCAGAGTGAATGTGAACATGCCGATAATCTAGTATCTTTCTCACTCTGACCTGTGGATTGCTTCTGGTTGGGAGATACCTTATCAGATAACTATCCATCAACTTACTTGCTTCTTCTTTAACTTTGTCCATTTCTGCCATTAATGATACTTCTTTGTCAATGATGCTAGGGAAAAACAAAAACAAAAAGAATATGCTTAATCAAAGGTAAACTTTAATCAGTTTAAGGATTAGAACAAAAGTGATTTTCATTAAACAAAATCAAAATATCTTGTTTCTATACTCCAATGCCAGTAGCACACACACACACACACACGCACACACACACACACGCTCTCTCCAAAGACTCAGGCAATGTGGAACGCATGTTCTCAAGGGTTACATAGTGACATCTGCTGATTAGTATCGTCAAAAAAATAAAGAACCTTTCAAACTTCCAAAATTGTGTTGCTTTTAATCTAAATTTTTGTGTATTTTTGCCATTGAGTAATTCCAAAGTTCCTAAACAAAGTATTTGAAAAGCTGGCACTTAGGTCATTGAGGACAGTAGTTCCCAAATGACTGTGTGCTCTACTCTCCGTGATCCTGGCTCGTGGGTATGAAGTAGACCTTGTTCTGATGTAAATGGTCCCGAGCCTATTTGACAAATTCATGGCAACCTATCTGCACAGGCCATAATATAATTCATGCCTTTCTCATTCTTCCAAATAAGCATGTCCAAGTTCTAATGAGCTTTATCCCATTATAGTTCTTTTATTTCTTGCATAATCATTTGAGAACTTAATTAATTAATTAATCCTACATAAAGTAATTATCTGTCCAAGTTTGTTTCTCAACCTATTCCCTAATCTCCCAGTTCCTTTCTCAGAAGTTACAACTCATTGAAAATCCCTTCTAGTGACACTGTCCAAAAAGAAATGTACTCATTACCTGATATATGTAACTGTAACCCCTCTACGAACCACTTTTATAATAACAATAAAAAGTAAAAACTAAAAATATTCATTCTAGATCTCATTCTACCTGTTTATGTTTAATAAACATAGTTGTCAGAGGCTATTTTTCTTTTATTTGGACCCTAAATGTTTCAAAAAGCATCTCTAAAATTTAAGGCCTTTGAGGACCATAACCATCTTGTTACTCTATCACCTAAAACATTATATAACAATTGCATAATAATTTAATATTGCCAACATCTACTTAGTATTCCCATTTCTCCAACTGTCCTATGAGTCTTAACAGTTTGTTTATACTAGGATCAAAATAAGACATGCTCATTATAATTAGCTGGTTGATTCTTAAATGAGTATGTGTGTATTGTGCAAACATGTGTTCCAGTATTGATACTCAATGTCTTGTGATCTTGCTTGGCTTTTTGGCTTTTTTGGCTAGCACTCTACCACGTGAGCCACATTTCCAGTTAGCTTTTTGTTGGTTTAGTGGAGATAGGAGTCTGCCTAGGCTATTCCAAACCAAACATTGATCCTCAGATCTTAGCCTCCTGAGAAACTTGGCATGAGTCAAATGTGCCCAGTTTAAATGTATTTCAATTTATCAGTTCTCTCTCCTCTGTTTTTTCCATCTCTTCTATAATTTGCTTGAAGGAAGCAGGTTGTATGTCCTGAAGAGCTATCCAAAGTCTGAATTTTTCTAATTACATCACCATGGCTTTATTTTGACTATTTTCTTTATATTCCATATAAATCTGTTAACAAATATTAAAATTTGATGGAATTCAAGTTGATTTTCTTCAGATTAAAAAAATTGCCTATTTTGGTGGCACAGGGATTTGAACTTACAACCTTACTATACTGCTAAGCCATATCTCTAGCCTGGTTTTTGATTGTTATTTTAATGACAGGGTCTCAGTTCCTGCCTCCAGCCCTGTTTTACACTGCTTAACTTGAAGATAAGAGTGTTGCTTCTTGTCCAGGCATGTACCTGGACCGCAATCTTGCTATTTCAGGTTTTATTCTTGTTGCTGGCATGACCATTATGTACCATTGTGTCCATCTTCCTTCTGTTGAGATGGAGGGGTCTCACAGGCTTTTCTGTCCAGGCTGGGCTGGAACTGTAATCCTCCCAACCTCAACCTCCCAAGTAGCTAGGATTACAGTTGTGAGCTCCCATTGCCTGGCTTGGAGAGGATAATGTCTTTCTGTGTTTGCTGATAGAATCATATCATTAGGTATACATCCTCAAAAAACAATCAAATCTGAGCCTCAAGGTTCTATACGTAATAATTACAACAAGTGATATGCTATTGTAAACATGAAAAACATATCTCTGTTTTTATGATATTCCCAGTCACTGATGATGACTGCTTAGATCAACAGAGTTTACAAAATGGGAATAATCAGGTTCTTCGACTTCTTCATTTATTTATAGGAATCCTTCTCTGGAAAGCAATTTCCATTGACCAATTATTTAGGAGGGAAAGCAATAGTTTTTCCATCCTTTTGGTGTCTACCTTTCCTTTCACATGATTTGGGAGGAATATGAGAGGGCCTGTATGTAGGACTTGCTACCTACAGGAAAAAGAGATGCAGATGGTAAGATTAGAAGTTAGAACTCGAAGGCTTCTCAATAGAGTCCCCAGGTTTTGAGAAACGCACAGTACATGGCTAAGGAGAAAACTTTCATGTGACCCAAGACTGCTCTGCCTTCAGCTGTCTAGTGGATAATGGAGGAGAAAACTGTAAAGGGAAAGTCCACAAAGTTATCCACTCCATATCACCCAAGTGCAGACTCCAGGGGCTGGGAATTCATCAGGCTTTGTGTCCATTGGGAAGGGAGAATATGTGGGAAAAAGCCTTTACTACTTCCTTTACCAGCTACAAGGTTTTGTTCATTAAATTTGCTAACACAATTCTGTGCCCAGAGAGCTTACAAGATGGGCATTTGTGTATATCACATATCTCCAGGTCAAACACTTATTAACCAAAGCCAGATAGTCCTACAATGGTTAGTTCAGACCTTCCAGGCTAGCAACAGGAGGGATGAAGGTTTACACAATAAATTGTTAATCTGCTTAATGCACACACTGGGGATGTAAAAAAGCCTGTGAAGTTGGCATCAAACCATGCTTCCATTCCGCTGGGTATTTCAACAAAGGAAGATCATCCTCAGGCATCTTACTAATTCAAGCACGGCTCTGTATGACTGCTTTCAAAACTCAACCGCACAAAGGCAAGGCAAGGATGTGCTGAGTCAGGACCCCGCTAGGAACCGGTGGACAGAAGCAATGCAAGCTCAGGGGGGAGCCTGAGGCAGATAAACCTGACCCTCCCTGGAGAATCTCGCTACTTTGGACCTGGATTTTGCGAGTTTTGCTTTCAAGGCAGTAGAGCTGGGGAAGGAAAGTGGATGTGGCAGATGAAGAAGTGCAGGCCAGCCTGCACTGACAGCCAGCTGTCAGACAGTGAGGAGCCAGCGTCACATAAGCTGAGCCCCAGATTAAGAGAAGGCGGAAGGCCGAAAAGACTTGGTCTGAAACCTTCCAAAAGGCTACAGAGCGGAGTGTTACTCCCAGATTCTCCAGGAATTTCACAGTGTCATTTGCAAGCCCTACAAGAATCTTCTTGAGGTCCCAGGACAGAGACACATAGGGGAAGTGCTGCTTGATGAAAAGCAACTCTGCAAGCTGGATGAGGACCTGGGTAGTCTGGCAGAACCTGGCTTGGAATGATCTGATGTCGAGGGAGAGGGAGATACTGGGAGAGGAAGGACATCAGAATTGATGAGTCACTGAGGAATCAGAGACATGTCACAAACCACTGTTTTAACTGGGGTAGCAGAAAGGTCACATTTGCTTTCTAGGTACTTCCGTAGAGAGAGGTTATCAGCCTGCAGTCCTTCAAAATGAGAGTTGTGCAAACAAGCACAACTGCCCCTAAGTACATTAGGCAGCCCTGCTGGCGCCCTATTAGAATGATCTAATTTAAACTTCAGGACACCCCGGGCAGTGTGAACAATGCGCTCACCTTGTACATCGCCTTGGCCTTGACTGGTGCCCTCCACTATTCCTTGAAGTCAACCTCCTCCTGAATCTGCTCTGTTCATCTAATTTAACTCTTCCTTCAAATCTTTGCTTAATTCATCTTGCCCCCCAAAGCTGAGTTTTTAAAACCTTCTGTTCAGCTTTTAGATCTTATTATGGGTTGCTCAACAGGAATTCCTTAATAGTGTTGCAGTGTAGGGAAGGCAGCCCCTTCATTCTCTATGGCAGAACAGTGATGAAACTTTTTAACTGGTACACCATAGTGCTTGCATAATTAATCATGTCTATGCACAAATCTATGTGATGCTGGTCATAGGCAGAATTTAATCATTTACTACACAAGCTTATGAATAGAAGTATAATGATCTTCACCAAGCACACAAAATAGGTTGTTGGTGATTGGTTTGCAAATAGGGATAGCTTGCTTAATTGTTGAAATGTGTGCTTTCCCCATTAATCTGAGATTTTTAAGTATTGACAGTTTTTGTTTTTCAATAACGATCCTCTGTACTTGACAAAAATACAGAACTCTTTAATTGGCTTGGACTTATGCCACATTAAGCCTGCTCTACATAAGCAGACAGCACATAAAACCCTTGTAACCTCATGTGTTTCAATCTTGCCCTGTATCTTTCCAAAACCACATCTTCTTTTATCTAAACTGCTTGGATAGTAAAATTTTATTTTGTTGCCATAAAAAAGCTTTTATTATCAAAGCAATAAGATGTAAGGAGGAGATTACTATGGCAAAGACTTTATGGTTTATTATATAGTTAATCACAAAGATAAAGTGTCATTTTATTAAAAAACGTTTCCACTGCCTTGATTCCTTTTTGAAGGAACTGATAATAATAATAATAATACAGTGATTTTAATAATAATAATAATAGAATCAGAAAGCCCTTTAGTAGGAATAGATTTATGATTTTCTTCTCTGTGAAAAATCTATCTTTAAAACTGGAGAATAAGACACTGAGTGACAAAATGCCTCTTTGGGGAGCGTGGATGAGCCATGTCAGGCTTAGTGTTCTTCAGAAATAAAGAGGCCGTGATTGGCAGGCCACTGAAGGACCTTCTGACAAGAACCTGCTGGTAGATACTGAAGTGATAAAAGCAGAATTTCAAAGGAAATTAAAAAAAATCCATCTGCAATAACTGTCAGAGTT